TTTATTTTCTTTCCTGTGTTAAGTATTCCATTGCATGACTAAATCATGAATATTTATCCATTCTCTTGATGGACATTTCAGTGGTTTCCTTTCTTTTTGCTATTATAAACAGTGCTGCAAATATTTTCTTTTCATACTTAATGTGTTTTGTGTATGAGGTGAAATCTAATTTTACTTCTTTTTCACATAGGTAGCACCATTTGTTAGATGGTCCATCCTTCTTCTCCACTGATTTGTCAAATATCAAGTTTCCATATGGGTATGGGCATGTTTCCAGACTTTCTATTCTGTTGCAATGATCTATTTGCTTATCTCCAAACCAAAACCAAACTGTCTTATGCTACTTAGTAGGGTGACTCTCCTCTTACCACCTCATTCTTTTTTTTTTTTGGCTGCGTTGGGTTTCCGTTGCAGTGCACGGGCTTCTCATTGTGGTGGCTTCTCTTGTTGCGGAGCACAGGCTGGAGGCACGCGGGCTTCAGTAGCGGTGGGGCGTGGGCTCAGTAGTTGTGGCACGTGGGCTTAGTTGCTCCGTGGCATGTGGGATCTTCCCGGAGCAGGGATCGAACCCACTTCTCCTGCATTGGCAGGCAGATTCTTAATCACTGTGCCACCAGGGAAGTCCCACCACCTCATTCTTGAAAATTGTCTTGGCTGTTCTTGGCCCTTAGCTTGTTCATATAATTTTTAGTATCAACTTGTCAAGTTCCATGAAAAATCCTGCTGAGATTTTGATTGGAATTTTATTGAATATAATTAAATATAATTTGAAGAAAATGGGTATCTCCATGATAATGAATATTCCCACCCAAGGTGATATATTTCTCCATTTATTTAGATCTCCAATGTCCTTCAATAAAGTTTTATAAGTTTTTCCATAAAGATCTTGCACATCCTTTCTTGAATTTATTTTTGGTAACTTATCATACTAAGTGCTATTATAAATGCTTTCTTTTTAAAAAAAATATCATGTTCTAGATGTTTGTTATAGGTTTATAGGCATACAGCAATTATTTTGTATACTTGTCTTACATCCAGAAATCTTATAAAATAGTAATTCCAATAGTTTGCCTATTCTCATGAAAAATTTTGTTTCTTCCTTTCCAATCCTAATACTGGTCATTTATTTTTTCATGTCTTATTGTACTTGTTAGTCTCCTAGGAAAATGCTAGACAGAAGCATTACTATCAGGCATTCTTACCCTGTCCCAGACATTAAGATTTTACCTTTATCTGATTCATCTTTAAGAATGGTTCTTGCTATGGGGTTGGTTTGTTTTGTTTTCTTTTTTCTGACAGATACTGTATTAAGTTAATGAAGCTCCCTTTTAGACCTAACTAACCTTCTCTTTTAAAAAAGATTATAAATGGAGTTATGTTTTATCAAATGATTTTTCTGTATCTACTGAGATCATCATGTTTCTCCTTCAATTTGTTAATGTGATGAACTATATTAATACATCTCTATTACCATTCTTGGTAAATCTTTTTTTTTTTTTTTTTTTTTTGCGGTACGCAGGCCTCTCACTGTTGTGGCCTCTCCCGTTGCGGAGCACAGGCTCCGGACATGCAGGCTCAGCGGCCATGGCTCACGGGCCCAGCCGCTCCGTGGCATGTGGGATCTTCCCAGACCAGGGCATGAACCCACGTCCCCTGCATTGGCAGGTGGACTCTCAACCACTGCACCACCAGGGAAGCCCCTTGGTAAATCTTTTTTGATATATTTTAATACAGTGCTGGATTCAACTTGCTATTATTTCATTTAGACTATGTGTAATTTTGTAAGTGATATTGGCCTATAATTTTTCTTTCTCATACTAACTTCTTTGGTATTGGTCTCAAAGTGCCTCATAAATGAATTGGGGAATATTTCCTTTCTTTTATTCTCTTTAAAGAGTTTTGTAAAGATTGAGTTTGGCTATTCCTTTGAGTGTAGTCACCTGAAAGATCATGGGAGCCTAGTGGTAATTTTTGATTTGTTTGTTACTTCTTTGGTGCATATATTTTAAGCAACTGATCTAATTTCTTTCTATTTACAGGTCTTTTCAAATTCTATATTTCCTCTTGCTAGGCAGTTTTTGGTAACCTGTACTTTCTCAGAAATGTATCCATATTTTCCTAAGTCTTCAAATTTCCTGCCCCAGATTGTTCAGTGCATTTTGATCCTTTAAACTTCTATTATATCTGTAATTATTATACTTTTTAGTCCTAGTATTTTTTATTTGTATCTTCTCTCTTTTTTCTTGCCCAGTATTGCCAGAAATGTCTATTTAATTAGTCCTTCCATAGAAGCTAGGAAGTTACCCTCAAGATATATCTCCAACAATATCAAAACACATGCACAAGACTATCTATTCTTGTATTATTCATATTGGCAAAATAATGGAAATAGTCTAAATGTCCATATGTAGGAAAATAGTTGAATAAATTATGGTACTTCCATGTAGTATACTACTATGCAGCTATTTTAAAAAAAAAAAGAATAAGGAAGATCGCTATAAACTGATACACTGTGATTTCCAGGATATGTCATTAAGCAAAAAAAAACATTGCGCAAAAGGGTTATATAATATGGTGCCTTTTATAGAAAAAAGAAAGGGAAATGTATTTGTATTTGCTTATTTTTACAAAAAGAAATAGGAAGGATAAAATTATTTACTTAGAGAGGTTGGGTGGGAAGGAGGTAGAAGGGATAGAGAGGGAAATGGGGCTTTTATTATGCCTTTTTTACATAGCTTTTGACTTTTGAACTATGTTGACATTTTATATAGTTCCCAAAATAAATCAATAAGAATGGGGAAACATCTGAAATTCAGTGGCAACAGAAATGAATAAACCTAACTGTATATCATATAAATAACATATACACACAGAAGAAAATAACTAATTCAAATAACTTTTTTTTTAATTCAAATAACTTTTGAACACAATTCTCTGACTATATACTCTCAGTAGGATCTATTCAACAGACAAAAAGAACTTCAAAGAAATCTCAAGCTTTACTTAATACATTTGGGGGGGGATTAATACATGTTTGAGTGGCATTAATGTAGCAATTCTGAAATTCTTTTATTTGTATATATAAGATTTAGTAACTGAATAAATACATTGTTGTTGTATTCTCATTCAGGGAGAAGGAAGATGTAGATATGGACTGGAAGGAGGGGAAGAACTCTGAGATGTTGGATTGGAATTAGAGGTATTAGTATATAGTCATGATTTTTAAAAAGTTGTATGTCCTAGCTCTGTCTGCTAAGAGGGCCTAGAAACAATGACACACCAGTAATAATGAGCACACCTAACTATCCAGATTTTGGTTTCTAAATACCATTCCCCTCTGAAAGGAACCAGGGCTCTTTGGAGAAATGGGGTAGAGAAACTACAAGATGAGTTTGGAATATCCATACATTGTGCCAGAAAGTATTGACGTACATACTCATAGCATAAAAAAGACATGTCAAATGGACACTGAAATTGCTTTAAAGGGTTTCTATTGGTCAAATTTGGCACAATTTGTATATAAAAATGAATAATGAAAAAAGTAAATTACTATCCACTGAATACAAAAAATATACAAGACCATACTGATAGTTTTAAAAAAACAAGAAAATGGGAGGCAGAAGGGAAGACCCTTATTTACAGGAGGCTGCCAATTAATAAACATAGAATGAATGATATTTATGAAATATATAGGAAACTTTCAGACTAGGTAAATATCCTGTTCCCAATCAGTTTTTCACTTAGTGGTTTTAACATCTGTTGGTCATTCTTGTCTGTTTCCTGCTTTCGGCTAAGATGAAAAAAAGTTACTATAAACATTTATATATAGATCTTTGTGTGGACATATGTATTCACTTCTCTTGAAGTAAATACCTAAATGTAGGATTGCTGGCTCACATTGTAGTGTATGTTTATAAGAAACTGCAATATCATTTTCCACATACACCTGCCCTGATCCCAATCCCAATTCTAGGATCACATCCCACATTTAGTTGTTATCTCTTTAGCCTCCTCGGTAAAATGCAAGAGAAATGAGGATGTGTGTAGGGGTGTGTGTGTGTGTGTGTGTGTGTGTGTGTGTGTGTGTGCGCGTGTGTGTGTATCTCTATATATATCCTCTAAAAGACTTGTACAATCATGTTCAAAGCATGTTGTTGTAAACTCCAAACTGGCAACAACCCAAATGTCTACCAACAGTAGGATGAATAAAGAAATTTCTATATAGTTATAGCAGTGGAATATTATACAGCCATGAAAAAGAACAAGCAAATACTACATTTAACAGTAAGTCTCATAAACAATTGGGTGAAAGAAACCAAGTCCCCAAAAAGTACATTTATATAAGTGATTCCATTTATATAAAGTTCAATAACAGGCAAAATGAGAATATAATGAAGGAAGGAGTCAGAAAAGTGGTTCCCTGTGAGGTTAGTGACTCAGAGGGGTACATAAGAGGTATCTGAGACACTGGTAATGCGCTATATCTTTATCTAAGTGATATTTACTTAGATGAGCTCACTTTGTGAAAACGTATCAAGCTTTACATTTATGACAAATGCACCCTTTCTGTACATTTGTTTTACTCCAATATAAAAAGATTAACAGTAAGCTTAATCCTGATTTCAAAACAGAATAAAAATAAGGCTGAATTTTCCAGTTTTCAGAAGGCACCCTTACTTTCCGACTTCCCAAGCTTTCTGGGAAAACTTCCCTGTAATCAAACCAGCATGTCCTAATTAACGACAATACTTGAAATGGGAAATATACAGGGATGCAGGCACTTTGAGGCCCTGTTGGGTGTACATTGGCACACGTTCTATGGAAAGAGGTCTGACAATACACATCAAGAGAATTAAAAAGAAATATATGATATTTTCTCCAGTGAGTCCCCTCCAGGAATTTATCCTAAATCAACAACTCAAATATTTATGAACAGCGATGTAAAGTTATACATTAAAAAATTTTTGTAGAAAAGAAAACCCTTTGAAGGTAATACTTACAATTGGCGTCCCAAAAGGAATGTAACCTGTGAGAGGACAGAGAGAAGAGTTGGGTTTTATAATCCCATCTGACTCTGCCCCACCTGCCTTTCAACTGTGAGGCCAGAGAGACTTCTGGCCTTGGCCTTGGCAGTGGCCCCAGGGAGAGGGCTCAGGTCAGTTAAGCGGGAGGCACCTCTAGCCCCAGACCTTTTCCCAGCCCAGCCCTCCCCAAGACAGAGGGCTCCCCTGTGTCCCCCAACCTCCTTGTCTCTGTTCCCCTCAGTCCTCACTCGCCCCCAAAGCCAGGGGCCCATTCCTGAAGGAGGCGCCCGTGGCCGGGGCGCCGCCACTCTGCACTTGGTGGTCCTCCCACGATTTCCTCCGGGAGCCACGAAGCCCCGCCAACCTCACCACAATGTCTCTGGAGGCCCTGGGACGTCCTCCTCCTTCCCTCAGCCTGTCTTTCTAAAACACACCCTTACTTTCTCAGCTTCATGACCATTTCTGGAAAGGGCATTCCCTACCCACCTGAGATGTGTGCCTCCAAGTGCCAGAGCTCTTTGAATCTCTAGGGCCCTGGCTGGACATCTCAGCAGAGCAGGAAAGGGCCGGCATGAAGTGCAGCTGGGCCCTGGCCGTCTCCCCACGGCTCAGGGCCCCCAGACTGTGGCAAGGCCCCCTCCCCCAGCCTCACTGCTGTAGGTGGGCATCCTCCTGTCCCAGCCACTAACTTACAGCAGCCAGTCAGCTGGTGGCCCAGCAGCAGGGAACCACAATTGCACGGGTTACGTCTAGAGCAAAGGTTGGTGTCCTGCGTGTGCATATTTGTACACATGAGCCGGCACTCTCCTACCAGGGAGAGGAGAGAGGCCCAAAGACTGATCAGAGAATCGCAGAATAAGCCAGTCTCGGGGGGAGAGCCTGCTATGGCCCCACGCAGGCACTGGGGAGGACCTGCAGCCGCAGCTACGAGAGCCTTCACCGCCTTGGAGTTCCTTACGGCAAAGCAAGGGTCACCGGGCACTAACTGCCCGTTTGCACAATGACATGTGCTTGTCTGTTCTCTCAGCCCCATGAGTTCAGGCTCTCTGAGGCAGCGGTGGGGGGGCCTGACTAACCTCCTGGACTGAGAACACCCACTGGTAGGGACCCTTCCTCCAGCCGCCTGAGGGCTTCCCAAGGCAGCAGCCACCAGCCCTCCCACCCGCCCTGTGACTCAGGGGTGGGGGGTACACTCTGTAGCACTGAGAAACGGCATGGAGGAGGCAACAGCACACTAGTGTGAGTCTGACCTCTGCTGTGTGACTCTGGACAAAGCCCTTAGCCTCTCAGAACCGTAGGCAGGACAACCACGCCGGCCCCAGCCAGTGTATGGGCAAGTGCTTTCTAGGCCATTAAGCTCTACGTAACAGAGCTGTCCCTCTAGTGACCACAGGGCAGGGACTTCCTGAGGGCAGGGATCTTATACCCATTCTTCCATTACCCTCTCTACCCACTGGTCTCCACAGAACAGGAATCCGCCTCCCTGTGTGTGTAGTGGTACAAACGTAGTGCATACACTCAGAAGGGCAGGCTAAAAGTAGGATCAGAGACAAGGGAGTTAGTCTGGGGGTTACCTGCATGAAAAGGCTGAGTAGGGAGCAGGGCTTGGAAGGAAGGCACTCAGTGTGCACAGATAAGAGAGGAGTGGCTCATGGAAGGCAGGGCTTGCCCTAGAAGGCGTCACCCTGGGGCTGCTGCTGAGTGAATGGGGTGTAACCTGGCATTGGGGGCACCAGATTCACCTGTGGAGGCCTCGATTCTACCCCAACTGCTCAGGCAGAAAAGGCAGACAGGCACATTTTAAAAGCTCCATAGGCTGGCCAGTCCTGTACAGTTGAGCCAAAGTGACCATGCAGGTGCGAGTGTGGTGGTGTGTGTAACAGGCTCTGTACGTCCCTCAAGCCAAGCGCATCTGGACACTCCTGGAGCTGTGACCATTGTAATTGGCCCAGGCTAGGCAGAACCAGAGGTTCCCAAGGGCTTACCTGACATTCTAAAGGGCATGAAGATCTTCTCATTGGTGTCCGGGTGTAGAATAGCCTGGCAAGAGCCGGGAACAGAGCACAGGGTGACAGCTGGGGAGGGAGATGGGACATGGGAGGGGGGAGGGGGAGGACAGCTCCCCCAGGAAGACTTAGGTGGCCAATGGCTGTATCCCACCTTGCCTTGTGGCCAGTCAATCCTTCCCACCACTCGGGGCAAGAGAAAACCAAACATGGGCCATAAACAGAGCTTCTCCTCCTAACTAGTGCTCAAAGCTGAATGCAGCACAGAGCCGACCATGTCTACCTTGCAGGCCCTCTGTCCCCCATGCCACGCACACAACAGGCCCACAATAAGGGTTTTGTGGAAGGAGCCCATGGGGAAGGAGGTCAGGGGGCCCAGGGAAAGGCAGGCTGACCTGAGCTCTAGTCTTCAGAAATTCAGACCCAGGTGCTGGGGAAGAAAGAAGGGGGGTCGGGCCAGGGCAGGGCAGGGCAGGGTCTCTGAGAACAGCAGAAGGGAAGGAAAAGAATCTAAAATTGAATTACCTGCTTGATTTTCTGTGCACTCCAGAGCTGGAAGGAAGGAAGGGAAAGAGAGAGAGAAAGGAAAAGAAAAGAAAAAACAAAGATTAAAAGCACGTATCAGTTTAAGGTCTCAAAGCCACATTTTCTAACCAAGAGATCCAGCTGGGGATCTCAAACAGATTTTTTTTTTTTTTTTTTTTTTTTTTTGTGGTACGCAGGCCTCTCACTGTTGTGGCCTCTCCCGTTGCGGAGCACAGGCTCCGGACGCACAGGCTCAGCGGCCATGGCTCACTGGCCCAGCCGCTCCGCTGCATGTGGGATCCTCCCGGACCGGGGCACGAACCCGTGTCCCCTGCATCGGCAGGCGGACTCTCAACCACTGCGCCACCAGGGAAGCCCCTCAAACAGATTATTTAAACCGAGGGTTCTCAATTCTGGCTGTGCCGTAAAATTACTTGAGGAATTCTTCCAGCATTTTCCTAACGCTCCCTAGTTCATTTTAAGGTGTGGCCAGGTAAGAAGCCCTGATTTAAATGAAGATACTTCAGCTGTCTCCCAGAATCACTAGAGGCAGCACAGCATAATTTTTCAGAGCTACACAGACTGCCTGGATCCCTGGATTTGCCACTTCTACCTCTGAGCCTCAATTTCCTCATCTGTAAAATGGGGTTAATAGCTGTGCTCTAACATTGTTGAAGAGGCGTATGAAAAGTGCCTGGAGCAGTGCTGAACACATAGTAGGTACTTTACAAGTGCTAAATCTTGTAGATATTATTATTCCTATTTTTGTTATTGTTATAAGAAGGTTGTGTGCTTTCAAATGAATGAGGAGGTTGTCTCTTCCAGCACAGCATGGGGTTGGGCTGGAGAACAATTTGTCAATTCCTTCAAATGATAAAAATACTGCATTTCATTGACTCTAAGACATCGTTGATCCTAAGACATACTATTATGTGCCACTAAGAAAGAAAACTATGGGGCTTCCCTGGTGGCGCAGTGGTTAAGAATCTGACTGCCAATGCAGGAGACACGGGTTTGAGCCCTGGTCCCAGAAGATCCCAGGTGCTGTGGAGCAACTAAGCCCGTGTGCCACAACTACTGAGCCCACGCTCTAGAGCCCACGAGCCACAACTACTGAGCCCACGTGCCATAACTACTGAAGCCCGTGTGCCTAGAGCCCGTGCTCCCCAACAAGAGAAGCCACCGCCATGAGAAGCCCCCGCACCACAACAAAAGAGTAGCCCCCACTCGCCGCAACTAGAGAAAAGCCCGCATGCAGCAATGAAAACCCAATGAAGCCATAAATTAATTAATTTAAAAAAAAAAAAGGTTTTCCCTAGTGGTGTAGTGGTTGGGAGTCCACCTGCCGATGCAGGGGACACAGGTTCGTGCCCCGGTCCGGGAAGATCCCACATGCCACGGAGTGGCTGGGCCCGTGAGCCATGGCCGCTGAGCCTGCACGTCCGGAGCCTGTGCTCCGCAACGGGAGAGGCCACAACAGTGAGAGGCCTGCGTACCGCCAAAAAAAAAAGAAAACGGTGGCATAACGCCAAGACGTCCATCAGTTAAAAGATTCATCCCATTTAAGAGATGATAAAATGTGATAAAATAGCCTTTTTAGAATCAAGAAAATATAGCAAGTAAAATTTTACATTGTGGGCAAACCAAAGGCCAGTGCATTTTTAACAGAGCAAGAAGGGTATGAGGTAAGAGGGGAGACGTGGTCAGCATTGATGTTTAAAGTTTTATAACGGAATAGTTATGTTTCATTTATACGGCAATGTTGTCATCTGCGATATAAAGTAAGCTGCAGAATGCTACTGGGTAGCAATAATAGAGTTATAAAATTGATATACAGATCTTCTTCAACTTACAGTGGGGTTATGTGCCAATAAACCCATTGTAAGTTGAAATTATTTAACATTCCGAAAGTACCAAACGTCATAGCTTAGCCTGGCCCACCTTACATGTGCACAGAACACTTACATTAGCCTACAGTTGGGCAAAGTCATCTAACACAGAGGCTACTTTATAATATAGTACTGAATATCTCATGTAATTCATTGAATACTGTACTGAAAGTGAAAAACGGACTGGTCGTGTGGGTGCACAATGGTTCTAAGTGTATGGGTGGTTTCCCTCTCGATCTCGTGGCTGACTGGTAAATGCGGCTCGCTGCCTCCCCAGCATCACGAGAGTATCAGACCACGTAACACCAGCCAGGAAAAGATCAAAATTCACAATTCAAAGTACAGTTTCTACTGAATGCATATCGTTTTCAGACCGTCATAAAGTCTATAAATTGTAAGTTGAGCCATCATAAGTCAAGGACCATCTGTATTAAAGTTTATGCATTTTACTAACAGCAGTCCCTTAAGCCTAATGCACAGCCTAATCGCTCTGATTTTAGATACATTTCAAACATATTTGATTGTCTGCTATTCCAGACCCAGAAAGATTAGAGGCAGTAGATTTTTTTCTTAATTATATTTGAGGAACAGAGGGGACTAAAGAAAGAAAAACCAAATGTAGAATCACTGTTAGCCAAAGACGGTATGTGAGAGCATAACAGCAGAGAGGTAAAAAAAATGATAAAAGGTTGATCTTTCTTTGCTCAGAAAGTGCCTTCTGCAGTGCATCCCACCACGTCCCAGCATCATCCCAGGTGTGACCCCAGGCCCTGGGCACAGACTCCTAACACCCCACGCTCTCCACCCCAAATCAGAATCTCCTGGGTCCGGGTCCCCTCACCTTGTACAGTCATAGCCCAGCCCCTCAGAGCAGGGGCCTGCCTTTGAGTGCCAGCCCCCACCATCTCCTAGAGCCATGCACACAGCAAATCTAAAGCTATTTATTTTTTTTAAAAATTCAAGATCTCTTCATACAATTCTTATAAATAAAGAAAAAAAATCCCCATGATTCTGATGAACAGCCTGGGCTGAAAACACTGATCTAAGACATTAAAGAACAGTGTAAAGAGCAGGTGTTAGGACCAGGCAGCCTGCATTCCAATCACTTACTGGATGTGTGGCCCTGGGCAAATTACTCTGCCTCCATGCCTCAGTTTCTCCATTAGTACAATGGGGTGCTGTAAGGGCAGGGCGGGGACTATGCTTGGTGCTCCTGGCAGCTGGCATTTCACTTTGGGCACACAGCTAAGTCTATGCATTCCACCCTCCCCCACAGTCAGATGGCCTCACATGGCCGGGTTCTAGCTAATGGACTGTGGGTGGAAGTGGAGTTCACCACTTCCAGGCTTGGCCCCAAAGCCTCCCACAGAGCATCCAGAGGAGGACAATGAGGCCCTAGAAGACAGTAAAGCCATGAGGTAAAAGGAGCCTGGCCCCTGGACAACGGCATGTGCCAAGTTCCTGAGCTGCACTGGACTCTGACATGAGTGAGAAACAGACCTTACTGTATAAGTCCCTGAAATCCAGGGGTTGTTTGTTACAAGCACTTGGCTTATACTGACTGATACAGAGGTTCACTGACACACGCATAGCTGAAATACTTGGCCCCTAGATCATGCTCCATAAATGCCTAACATAGAGGGGAAGTCAGTCAAATTAGCAGTATTTTTTTTTTTTTTTTTTTTTTTTTTTTTTTTTTCGTTTCGGGGGCCTCTCACTGCTGTGGCCTCTCCCGTTGCGGAGCACAGGCTCCGGACGCGCAGGCTCAGCGGCCATGGCTCACGGGCCCAGCCGCTCCGCGGCATGTGGGATCTTCCCGGACCGGGGCACGAACCCGTGTCCCCTGCATCGGCAGGCGGACTCTCAACCACTGCACCACCAGGGAAGCCCGAGCAGTATTTTTTAAAAGGACTTAATTATTTTTCAAAATAACTTCATCTCTATTGTCTTATTCTTACAACATGCCTGTGAGGTGGGTAGACTACTTTCAGACAAAGCAACTCATCTCAGAGAGACTAAGTGACTCAGCCATGGTTCCAGGGGCCTGGTGGCAGGATGGAGATGGGCACCCAAGCCTCCTTGCCTCCAGACTTGTGTCCCCCCTGTTCTCCAGGGGCCCTCTGGAGCACACTGATGTCTGGTCTGGCCAGGGTGACAGCCAGGCCTGAGGCACGAGAAGAGGAAGAAGTTTGGCTGACATCATCTGAGGTCCCAGAACCTCCCTTTGCAGCCGGGCAGCAGACGCTCCTCCCCAGCACCTGTTCCTCCCCTCCCGCCCAAGTCCAGCCAAGCAGCCCCTGTAATCCACAGCTGCATCTGTGTCCCTCAGATTCAAGGGCTGCCTTCTCCGCCCCCACCCAGAGAGCAGTGATGGAGACTCAGGCAGCACCGGCTCAGCAGCAAAGGCAGAAGTTCAGCAGGGGTGGGAGCAGGCAAGGCCAGAAGCCCAGAGCTCACAGGCGTGTTCTCCAACGGCGATGACACCTCCACCCACGGCCCAGGCAGGCTAGTGTCACAGATAAGTGGCAATGGTCCCATTAACTATTTGAGTCCCACACTCAGAAATCTGTTTCCATAGGACGGGTGAGAAAAGTAAAGCTCAGAACCACGCCCAGGGTCTCGGAGGTGGAGCCAGAACTACAGCTCGTGACCGGGGACGCAGACTCGTTCAGTCACATTTAGTGAATAAGTGCTACGCGTCAGATACCTTTCTCAGGGCTTTGTACATATTAACTTATTAATCTCCTCAACAACCCTATGAGGCAGGGACCAGTATATCTCCCATTTTATAGATGTGGAAACCGAGGCACTGAGATATTTAGTGATTTGCCCACAATCCCACGGCAGCACTGGGATTTGAACCTGATCAGTCTGGTTCCATAACCCCCACTCTTGAATCCCCATGCGCCGTCTCTAAATGCTAGCATACCAGTGCACACTGTTCTGTCCCTTTAGGCATCTAGTATATATATGTGGAGATCTTTCCACATTACAGCATGGAGAGCAGCCTTATTCTTCCTAACAGAAACGTTGAATGAATATATTGTAAACTGCACCCTATTGGTGGACTTTTAAGCTACTTCTCATCTTTTCCTTATTGTGGTAAAATATAAATAACATAAAATTTACCATTTAACC